TCAGGAGTGTTGGGATAAGCTATTGCGACGCTGAGAGTTGAGGTGCTTCATAGACGCTCAGATTACTCGAAGGGGTGAGTTAATTCCACGTCTGGACATGTACTGGCAGGGGTGATCCACGAATCACTGCGGAATCTTGATTATACACAAAATACGTCGATCCAACTGGTTCTGGTCTTGCAGAGGATTTCATGCGGTCGAATCCACTTTAGGCCATATTCCCAGGGGCAATGCATCGAAATTAATATTTCTTATTACCTCAGGTCAACACGTGGATGCGTCGGGCAGATGTTACCTGGCGGTCGTATAAGGTCAATTTTGCATGTGACTGCACAGCCACTCCTAGTGGCGTGTCAGCTTGAGGCGAAGGTGTGTGCGGTGATTGAAGCGTCCAAATGCCAGCGGTCAAGTGGACAACCACATGATTAGCCACGTCGGCACAGAAGAAACACCGATTTAGCCACTGCTCTCGATGTCAAGGGGCTATCAGTGCGAAGATTCAGGGGGAAATTTTTTTCCTTAAAACACACATTCCATTCATGGAGTTGGCGTGGTGAACAGCCCTTCAAGTCACTGCTGCCCCACGCTGATTAACAAGGTACAGAGTCTTTTGCTGGTAAGTTTGTCACAACAACTTCCAACTCCACAAATTACTTCAGGCCCGCCGCTACGAAGACACACTCACTTTGGTACTACACAAAACAACAAAACCAATGTAATAATAGTGGTCAAATTGGAGCGGTCAAACACAATCTCGTGTTCACCTGATGTCGACCGCTACCGTGCAAGTCGTGTTTGAACACAACTTTCTCATTCCATGTACACGCAGCACGCCAAATGTGTAACAACTGCTGTGTAAACACCACCGCGCAACTTGCCTCGTTTCGACTAACAAAGCACTGCCCGCTCCGTTCTCCGACACGCAGCCGCACGACAACTGCAGGCACTTTGTAAACACACGCACTCACGCACGCATGCATGCACGAACACTGTATGTTGATACTGCACACCATTTATTAGTTGCAAGTTGGTCAGTGCAAGTGACTGCGGCTGCTGCAGCTGAAATTGACTTCCGGTTGGGCGTGTCAGTGGGATCAGAATGGTTCTGCGGCATTCTGCGGGAATCATTCCGATAGCGCCCAGTCGAGGCGAGCCTTCAACAAACACTGAGTCAGACACTTAGTCCAAGGCCACGGTGTGCTGACGCATCCTCATTCGTGAGAGCATATCGCGCCTGTTTGAAAACACATGGAAGGAGAGAGGGAGACGCAGTGGAGCGAGACAGCTGAGTCATTTGTGTGGATGTGGGAGCGCGGCAGCCAATCACAAAGAGCCAGCATCGTGGCGTCACGCCGCGTTGTTCCCGCGTCGCCTGTCGTGCTTGGGCATGAACTCCGCGGTCTGCACTAGAGTTATCGCACCACTATCCGTTTCCATCGAAGGCTGCCATGATGGCAGCCTAACCACTTCCAGAATTTCCTTCCACCTGCAGTGACATTGTCCACTTCCTAATTGACCTTGTGGCCAAAAAAAGCTCTAGACCCACTGATTCACAATACGTTCCTTTTGGCATTATCGACCGAGTTTTAAACGGGTTTAGATGGGTCTCAGATATGTCGAAGGGCATTTATTGTCAGTACCAGGCTGGCAGAATTTCCCAGTGTAGATCTTGGTTCATGAGGAAAATTAATAAAACAGTGTAATACCCAGCATATTTAGGAGAGTTGCCCAACACACTTGCGATGTAGCAGTAACGGCTTGCAGGTAGGCCGTCTTCAAGTTATCCAACTGCCCCTCTCTTGTAAGCTCCTCGTGCTGTAAGTCAAGAACGGGCATCGCATTCGATGCGGGGTGTGATACTATTCCTCATTTGGCGGATGATATCATGACTAATGATTCTCACGTGGGTCACATATTTGGTTGACTGATTGGTCGAAATGTCTGCTGTTCAGACGCATTTTAGAAGTGTACTTGACTGATACTCTTCTAATTAAAGCATCAAACCAATGTATAAGTGAATTCGGCAGCTAAACTGTGGCACCGAGACAAAATTCACAGAGCTTTACAGAGCTGAGAGCCCATTTCATCCACCCACAACGAAATGCGTTGTAGTGGAAACATAACTAGATGTGTTTATTACTGAATTCGCTCAGAATAAAATCACGTCGTGACGTCGTCAAGCAGTCAACGTCCATGTGAACAGGTTCACTGCTGCTAATCCACCAAGGCTCACATTCAACCTGCGAGTGTCGCATCCGCGTGACAGCCAAACAGCTTCATGGTTGTCTCCTATTTCATGGTCGCACACACACACACGCACGCACGCACGCACACCAAAAGGCCACCTGCCAACTCCGCACCCAACTCCCTCTGCGTCCTGCACGAGCGTAAGCAATTTGCACTGAAAGCTAAACACTGCCACCACCCGTCGTGCAATTGGTCCATTCCCGCTTTGTTGACAATCGTGTTCGAAACACGCGTAAACCATGCAGACTCCAATTAATCACGCGCTTCCGATGTCACTTCTGCTGGTATCACGGACGGTTAGAGGACCACTATCTCTGGTTAAAAATGACTCATTTCGCCAGCATTCGTCGTCTCTTTGTCCACTTGCGCAAGTTATCAAAAATGCTACCGGCAGTGGTTGGTCGCTAACATCTAAAACATGGCTTTTTCGTGAATTTGTTGCCAAGCGCACTGCGTCTGTTCGATCATTGGCGGAGATGAGACTTCCAAAACGCCTGCCAAGTGGTCATGTTTGCCAGTGCTCAAGTCTGGCTGCACACACCTCCGTAGATTATCTCAAAAATCGTTGTTCTTGTGAAAAAAATTTGAAATGTATAGCAGAACCCTCCTCAAAATACTCGCCACTCAACTAACCCGATTGTAACTAGCTTGGTGATGCTCCTTTCAATTGATAAAAGATTAAAGCATAATCCTGGGCACATGAAGCATTAAGTCCCCCTCTAATCTGATAGCTTCAGGAAGTAGAAGAATGTACGAGTGATGCTACGAAGTACCAAATGAGAAAGTGGAACAATTTTTTGCGAATCCACTTTAAATGCGTCTTCCACAATGTTGGTGAGAACAACACTAGTCGCCAATGCACTTCCACCACATGAAATCTACAACACCAACCACTGCATCGCTCTCATTAGCACTTCCAAGTCGTGTCAGCTCCTCGTGTGCGCTCGTCAAGGCTTAGGGTCCACAGCTAGCCATTCGATGTTAGGCAATTCGTAAACACATCGTGGTCATCGACGTGTGCTTGGTGTCAGGAAATACTGCCCAACCTTGGTGAAAATGTCGCCGTTCCAGAATATCTTCCTGAGCTTGAAGTTCACAGACGTTATGGTCCAGAGTCTCCTCAATTTCACTACGTTACGTGTGAGAGATGCTTGCACGACCTCACTCCCCTGTGACTGTGTAGTCTCGCATCTCTGCACGTAGGATACTGCTCCAAACGTCGTGAACTACTTTCATCCGACTTCAGGGCGTCAGACTGGAGCTGGATCATTTGCTCATTGCCAAGCCTGCATCGCGTTTGCGGTAGAATGGTTATTTTTCAAAATGCACTCAAACCGCATGTAACAAGTTATGTCGATTCACAACAATGTACCACCCTCCTATTCACATTTGCCCAATTAATCTATCCAATTCTTTCTTTTTCAGCTATCATTCGACTGCCATTGATCGAAACACCAGTAAATATTACTACCATTCACACGCCTACTGACCCTCCACAGCACCGGGGCCCACCTCACGACTTAGTGCGTTCAGTTATTGGTGCATAAGTTGGCCATTACACGTCACCATCAATTTCGTCTGAAACCACGGCCCATTCGGAGATGGTCTTTTTCACCTTCTCAGACTTTCTGTCCAACACTTTGGCTGAATTCGGCAAGCAACGCAGAAACTTTAGTCGTGAACTAATAGTTACACCGGTGGATTTTTGCAAACGTAGGTTTGGTGGAATCCAACCGTTTACCAGAATTGTCTTTTGTTTTGACATTACTTTTTTTGTTGGTTGAGTTGATTCAATCCTGAAACCAGCCATGAGAATCGTTTAGTACATGGACCGGTTAAATTGCAAGAAAGCCACATTACATTTGCTAAGACTCCCCGAAGATAGAGTTAAGGCCGCACTGTAGCCCATCTACTGCCACACTAATACCGTGTTTGTACAGGGTAATAAGTCGTCAGTTTGTATAGGAAAGCGTGACATTGCTTAACATCAATCTCTAAACGAACATCGTACCGTGATGAGTACTCAGAATGGCCGATTGAATGCGTGTTCGTTCACGCTTGCCAATAACGATTCCCACAAATTCGACTCGCAGGAGTCACATTTGCTTAAAACGGTCAAATGGTTTCATGATTTTCTACACAACCACACACGCACACAGAGGACAAATTTCAAATTCCAGCACGAGTATACTGAACTTGAAATGAATACTTTACCGAGTCATTACCTTTCGTAGAGTTGATCTGCTCATATGCATTCCCATGGCTCGTCATCTTAGCTTACCACAGAAGACTGCCAACTACCTGGATATTTAAATGAATAGTCCGAGTTTTTATGAATTTGTTCTGCCATCAAAAACCAACACCACCGGAGTCTAAGGCCAATCACACGCCTTGGAGATGGTGACCTTAATTTACGAAAACATGGGTTAAAAGATGCTGGTTCACACCGCGTTTGTGGTCAACACACGCACGCTAGGTACGCGCGCACTCACGCAGTCGTCCGACCATCACGAGAGCGCGCTGGTCACATCTAACACCCCCGTTCCTGCTAGTTAGGTCCAAAACAACCCACATCCCTTAAAAGCTGTTGGTAGGGCGGCGGCGAAGCTAGGTTACTGTTACCGCATAAACCCATAGACAAGAATAAGAATCAGGTTATGAAATGCACATGCTCATTTATATATTTTCGACGTAGGACTGCAAGAGTGATTGTCGAGTGAAGAAATGTGTGTCCACGCTAAACGCCTCCCATTCTAGATCTTCACGTAGATTCGGGTGCTCACGACGTCATCTACCTTAACGATCTGCACGGAAACAAAGCCAAGAGTTCGCAAGCACGACAAGGCAGGCGTGATGATGTAAATTGGGATGGAGATGACTTACCGTTTTTAGTTCATTGCCCTCAATGACACGATCGATGTAAGTGGTTTTCTCCCCAACCTGAACCTGTTTTAAAGTGTCGCCGTCAAGCGTGATGGTGGATTGGACAGTCCGGCCGTCTGGAGTTTCCTCCTTGAACTCCTCACCCAACTTAAATTCAAACTCGGTGTTCTTGAAGGTGCTTTCCGACCGCATCTTGTACTTTCCATCTCCAAGACAGGAGACAATGAGGGTGGGCTTTGCGAGTTTGCCGGCTTGGCGGGTGAGGAAGCCCACTCCAAGTTTTTGCATCACCTCGTCGAAATGCTCGCTCTTTTCCAACTTCCAAGACCCCAGAAACGCCTCCATCGTTTAAACTAATTCACAAATCACTGAGCCATGGACACGATTCATCTTAAATACCTCTCTCTGAACGCGTGTGAAGGCAAGCGCTCGCACATGGTGCGTTGAGGTCGCTAATTGGCTATAATCAACCAATTGGATGCGGGCAAGGGCCAGGACACCTGTGCATGCGTGCGTACGTGTGCAGAGGCATGACATTGCCAGCTTCTCGTTAGCTGTGATCAACTCGCAATTAAGGAGGTACTTACTCATCTATAAGCAGTGGTTATTAATTTATCAAATAAACATGAATCAAATGTCCACCGAGCAAATTATTTCAGCTCATGGACAGAAGCGAGTTGTGCAACCTCAGTTGCAACTGACAAACCCAGTTAATTTTCCTCCAGAAAGCACTCCGAATGCCCTGACAACGTGGATTGATTGAGGTGGATAAGCTAGGATACCGGCGTGAAGCTTGGAAGTTTGTCTCAACTACGGCAAGCATGGGTTATTGCAATCGATCAAATAAGCGTGTCAGATAAATTTGTTGACGCCCGGTACCACAGTTCAGACATTCGAAGTGGCCAGGAACGCCAGAGGCGACGAAGACACTAGCCTTGGTCGTGTGTCCTTGTGCATACAACGTGCGCAGAATATGTCATATGGGAAGGTTTGTAACGGATCCTAGGGATCCTCAACCAACACCACAATTCATGCACAACCGCTTCGCATGCTTGCTCAACCTTCAGATACCCTGCTGCGTCACTCTGCTCTAACCCTGTGTCCATCCAACTGAACCCCAATTTTGATCTTGAAGTAGTCCCATGTACGTTTCAACAAGCCCCCATCATCCGCCATGTGACACACATGACCAGCCACAGCTGCAGAGTCAGATTACACGGCATAAAGATCGGTTAGGCCTCCGTCGACTTTGACCTTCCCATAAATTCACTGGTTACCTGGATTCAGACCGGGCATCAACGCAACAATAATTCTGTTAGAACTGATGGACTGTGAGAATGCGGAGACACAGGAATGGAAAATTTCATTAGTTTTGACTGAAAGTATGTTATTTGTGGTAAATCTCTTTTATTCACACCGCTTCATCCGGTCGCTCCACCTCCGACACAGGGTTCCCCTGTTCGCAGAATTTCGCCAGCCGCGCGGAACCTCGACTCCCCCCTCATTCACACGGATGTTTGGATTATCCTCACACCTAGGTCACGATGCTAGCGCATTTATGACACACATTAGAGGTATAAAATCACACGCGCAAACCACACACACGACACAGCGACACCATCGTGGTTGAGCTCTGAAGTAAACGGTTGTGTCAACGTCCTCTCCGATTTTTTTTTCATCGCGGATATCAGGGAAGCGCTATCTGTTCAAGACCGCATGCTGGGGCTCACAACATATTAAATTAGAGAAAGGAGTCGGCAAATAATCTCTTCCAACTTCGAACCGACAGATTTATCGTAGATGAATCCGGAAGACAAAATGTAGCCGGTAGGATATCTGGAACGTTGACAGCAAGCATGATTAAACAGGCTATAGGTCGTCGCTGATGCTCCATTATCCAGATGCAACGAAAGAGGATGTTGGCAACAAAACTCCCACGGAAATGTTAATGCCAGAATGTTCAGCTCTACATTAATCGGTCTGGCATCGAAGATATATTGATGGATAAAAATTGATTCAATATATATTGGAAGTTAATGCAAAATTCGGCAACGTTCTTAGGCTTGATTGGATCAACCCAAATAACGCCAGCAATATGAGTCATTTTTAACCAGATATAGTGGTCATCTAACCGTCCGTGATATCATCAGACGTGACATTGGAAACGCAATGGAGTCTACATGGTTTTCGCGTGTTTCGAACGCGATTGTCAACAAAGCAGGAGTGGACCTATAGCCCGACTGGTGGTGGCAGTGATTCGCTTTCAGTGCAAGTTGCTTGCTTTCGTGCAGGACGCATAGGAAGTTGGGGAGCGCGGTTGGCAGGTTGCCTTCAGTGTCTGTGTGTGTGTCCATCAACGAGAAGACAAGCAGATATGGCACTTCGAAATTCAATATAACACGGCCTTGTTGCAACTCAACCAGTCGACACACAAAACCATTCTCGTGGCTGAATTAACTCAACCCACAAACAAATCAAAGTCGAAACAAAAGGCAATTCTGCTTAAAGGATGGATTCCACCAAACCTACATTGGCAACAATCTATTGGTGCAACTATTAGCCAATGACTAAAGGTTCTGCGTTGCTTACCGGAGTCAGCCACGGTATAGTTCAGAATATCTGAGAAGGTGAAAAAGACCATCTCCGAATGGGCCATGGTGTCAGGCGAAATCGAGGGCAACGTGCAATGCCCGGCTTATATACCAATAACTCCGCGTACTAAGTATCAACCATGGATGGTCAGTTGGCGTGCGAATGGTAGCAATGTTTACTGGTGTTTTAATCAATGGCGGTCCGATGACAGCTGTGAAATGAAAAATGGATAGATTAATTGCGCAGATGTGAATTGGAAGGCGGTACATTGCAGGGCGTGGTTGATGTTCTAAAACGAACGCCATTTGGAACATGTGGTTTGAGTGCACTTTGAAAAACAAACATCTATTCTACCGCAAACGCAATGTAGGCTTGGAAATGGAGAAGCAATCCAGCTCCAGTATGACGTCTTGAACCCGGTCAAAGTAGTTGGTGTGGTTTGGTGTAGTACTCTACATGCAGAGATGCAAGACTTTGCAGTCACATTGAAGTGAGGTCGTGTAAGCACATCTCACACCTAACGTATTGAAATTCACGAGTCGCTAGAACACAACAGCTGTGAACTTCAAGCCTTTGAACTTAGCCTTTAGCTAGGTCATTTTCACCAAGATTTAGCATTCCTTCGTGACACCAGGCACAAGTTGGTGATCGTCACACAAAAGCACCGAAATGGTTGTCGTCTAACACAAAGAACGCCAGCAATATGAGTCATGTTTAACCAGAGAAATTGGTCCTATAACCGTAAGTGATATCATCAGAAGTGACATCGGTGTGTACTTGGTTAATGCGTGTTTTGAACAAAAAATGGGAAGTCGACCTGTTTCTTGACGGGTAATGGCAGTGTCTCGCTGTCAGTGCAAGTTGCTTGCGCTCGCACAGGACACAGGGGAAGTTTGGGGTGCGGATTCGACAGGTGGCTTTCAGTGTCTTGTGTGTCAATGAAAGAGTGGACAACCACGAAGACGCTTGGCTGTCATACGCAGACTCGACAGTCGGCGGTTAAATAGGAGCCTTGTTGGATTGGCAGCAGTGAAGCTGTTCACATGGATGAATGCTTGACGACGTCACCGCCTGATATGAATTTGTATTAATTCAGTAATAAAGAACTTTGATTATGTTTTCTTGATATCGCGTTTCGTTGTGGGTGGATGAAATAGATTCGCGACATTGCAAATCTGTGTATTTTGTCACGGTGCCATAATTCACCGTCTGATTTTTCCTACACATTTTTTTGAAGCTTTATATCTTAGCACATCTATCAAGCACACTGTCAACATTACGTCTGAACCGCAGACATTTCGATGAATCAGTCATCTAAACCCATGACGCAGGTGCCTATTATTAAACATGATAACATCTGGCGAATGAGCAAGCGTTTCACACCCCGCATTGAATGTGTTGTGGATTCACGATTCCCCAAGATTGGTTTCTGATTCTATTTACGTTGATTAACTGACATTTGGTTTGTTACGCTTTTCATCAAGTCACGGTCAACCATGACATGAATTCGTTTCACTTTCAATACTTGACTTCTCTGCACGTGGCGGACGTGAATAAATCTCTCTACATGAGCTCTGGTTTTGATCTTGTTGGAGACTGGAAAGGTCGGTTGTAGCTTCAGCAAAGAATCAGGCACCGTCATTTGAGTGGTCTTCTCTTTGTTACGTGCAAATAACAAATTTGGCGACGGTTGGAACAATTACTCGAGCGTCAAGTGTCAATGCTTGCTGATCACCAGTCCTCTCAGGCCGCGCCCGTTAGTAAACCGTCAATTGACGTCCTCACAAACAGTATCTCGGAGTTTTTCTATGATCCGGAGAACGGCGAGACGTTTGTGTCCTGGTATCGGCGTTACGAAGACCTGTTCCGAGTCCATTTTGCGTCGCAGCATGACGCATGGAAGGTCAGACTCCTTACCCGCAAACTGGGCCCAGCCGAACTCAAGAGATACACAGACACGATCCACCCCAGATCCTAACTCGAATTCACTTTTGGAGAAACCGTTCGAAATCTCAAGCGTATGTTTGGAAAACGCACCTCCTTCTTCAGTACCCGCTACCAATGACTCAAACTCGTAGAGGAGAATTTGACGACTGTGGTCAATAGAGACTGCGAGAAAAGTCAATTCACATCAATGACTGATGAGCAGCTCAAAGCTCTCATTCTCATATGCAGCCTTCAAATCCACAAATACACGGATCCGCAAACGTATCTACCACACCTGATTGACCAAAATCCCTCTGTGACGCTGGACAATATCTGCGATAAATGTCTACACTAAGGAAGCGTGCTGTGTGACATTAGAATGGTCCATGCTAGGTACCACAGTGCTCCTGAAGTCAATACCGTCCAACGAATCGATAAATCACTCCCAATTATGGCCCTCCCAGCTCTCGTCAGCCGAAATCCAACGGGGAATCAGCCGACACAAATCGTCGGAGTAGATCAAGAAACACATCTTCTTTCGCGTGTTGGCAATGCGGAGCCCAGCATTATGTCAAGTTCTACCCTTACAAAAAAACCGACACCTGCGAGGAAAAACTAAGGGCCACAAGGACGAATACTGCCCATCATCCTCGTCCAACAGGAGTGGACGGCACTCTCACCTTCACACAAAGGAAAGGTAAAGAGCCCAAAAAGCCAGCCCACTATCGCATCCCTCAGCCTACGGGTCACCTGCGAAGACACTTTACAGCAGCAGAGGATGTATACAACCGTCCTCATCAATGACCATCCAGTTCGTCTGCACCTAGACACACCCTCGGACGTTGCCATCTTCTACGAAACCCAATGGAGCTCCATCGGAAGTCCTCCACTCGGAGACACCTCTGAAATGGCAATCAGAGCTTGCGGCGGTGAAATTCACTTCAGTGGCCAAATGCAATGCTGTGTTTCCTTCGGCGGAACAACTTTCCCTGCAACGTGTTATGTCCTCAACGCCAAGCTGAAACTACTTGGTCTGGATTGGTTCGCACAATCAGGTTTGGCCGATAGCCCGATCAGCTCCATCTGCAATGTCCTACACTTGTCGACAACACCTAGCGAAAATATCACGGACATCATTAACTAGTTTACCATGGTTTGTCTACCTGCATTAAGACACTGTTCTACGACACAGGCCATCCTTCACCTTATGCTGTACGCCAAGCAAACCTTCCGTCCAAAAAGTGCGGTCACATAAGCCTCGTTGCCGCTGGTTGACGCTGAGTTAGAACGTTTTGAACACGAAGGCGTCCTATCCCCGTTCTCATACTCAGCCTGGACGGTCCCAATCGTTGTGGTAAAGGAGGCTAATGGTTCAACCCGGATATGTGCAGACTTCTCCACTGGTCTAAATGCAGCTCTGGAACCGCACCACTGCCCTCTACCAGCCCCAGAGGAACTATTCACAATTCTGCGTGGCGGAAGGTTCTTCGCAAAACCCGATCTGGCCGATGCCTATCTGCGATTGAAGATCGCTCCCGAGTCCCGTGCCATCTCGGTTTATTCAATACAACCGCCTACACTTCGGAGTGAAGACAGCTCCTGCTATTTTTCGACAGTTTATGGACAGCATTGTGGCCGGCATTCCTGGACTGGCAGCATACCTCGACGACCCATTAATCGTAGCTAGTTTGCATGATGAGTTATGCAAGCGGATCGAAGAAGTCCTCCAACGGATTCACGACAACGGACTCAGACTTAGCCAAGAAAGATGCCAGTTCTTCCTGACCTCGGTCAAGTATCTGGGTTTCATCATTGATGGCCTGGCCGGCATCCGGACCCTGAAAATATCCGCGCTATTCAACACATACCAACTCCCAAAGATGTTCCCTCACTGCGCTCCTCCATAGGAGTAATCAGATATTACTCGGCTTTTCTACCAAACTCGAATTCGTCTGAAACCATTGCCCAGTTCGACATGGTTTTTTTCACATACTCAGACGTTCTATCCGGAAAATTTGGCTGAGTTCAGCAAGCAAAGCGGAACCTCTAGTCATTAGCTAATAGCTGCACCGCTTAATTGTTGCAAATATAGGCTTTGTAGAATCCAACCGTTTACCTGAATTGCCTTTAATTTCGACTGTGATATGTTTATGGGTTGCGATGATTCGATGCTGATATCAGCCACGGGAATGGTTGTGTGTGCCGACTGGTTGAGTAGCGAAATAGCAATATTTCATTCGCATAGACTCCCACAAGATAGAGCGGAGACCGAACTGCAGCCCGTTTGCTGCTACATTAATAGCGTGTTTGTACAGGGTAATAAGTCATCAGTGTGTACACGAAAGCGTGACATTGCTAAACATCAATTTCCAAACGAACATCGTACCGCGAAGAGTACTCAGGATGACCGATTGGATGCGGGTTCGCTCACGCTTGCCACCGATGTTCGCCACAAATTCGACTCGCAGGAGTCAGATCTGCTTACAGCTGTAAAATGGCTTCATGATTATCTACACAACCACGCACGTACACAGAGGGCAAATTTCAAATTCCATCTCGAGTATCCTAGCTTATCCACCTCAATCAATCCACGTTGTCAGGGCATTCGGAGTGCTTTCTGAAGGAAAATTAACTGGGTTT